ATACCACGCGCTAGGGAACGCGGACGTGGCGTACTCACGTGCCCCCCTGGTTGACCAAGATCCCCAGGGAAACCCTCTGGTTCTTGAAGGCCCTGATAATCACGTCGTGGTCTTCCTTGCAGCTTACCACCTGCATGCCATGGTTTACCACGGAAGGTCAGCAAAATTAACAAGACAGCCAAACAGAAAAATCGAAAAGAAAAAGAGGTATCGATGGTGAGTGGGGTGAGGAAATGTCATGGTAAGACCAGCAAATGGAAAAGACAGCCAAACAGAAAAAAAAATCGAAAAGAAAAAGAGGTATCGATAGTGAGCGGCGTGAGGAAATATATCATGAAAAAACATAAAAAACGATGAGGACCTAGAAGAAAATAAAATTAAGGAATAACAAAAACACACACAGAAAGACTACCCATTCATAAAATAAAATGCACGTCTCGTTCCATTGAACATTGCGGAACAAGCCGGGGAACCTGCGTCAGCATGTCGTGGCTTTTCACTTTGTCCAACGAAACGATTCCATATATTTTTCGATTTGGAGGGAATACGCTGCTGTTCAGCCTCGTTGCAGCGGCATGGTATTTCTAACTTTTGGAATGCACGAAAAAAGTGAAAATATGTTTCTTCAAGTTGCCAACACCCTGCTGTTGTCCGCAAACACCATCGGGCAGGAAATGCGTCTTCGAGTTTAGTGTCGGCAGAAACACACCTGCTACATTACAGCACTAAAATAGTAAACATCCCGCCCAAGTCCTCCGCGATTCACGGAAAACCCGGAACTCAACGGGTCACACCACGCGAGCCACTTACGTAGGCAAAGACCCAACACCTGTTCATGTCGCCAAATACTTTTAACATACCCCAAACAACATACCACATTTACTTCTCGGGAGCGCTTGAAAAACGGTACAAAACATGGACCAAAGCTTCAAGAACGGGGAGAATGAAGTTTCTACCGAAAAAAATGCATCATCCATCGTGTCCTGTCTGCATGTACCCCTGACGGGGAGAGTGGACTACCGCATTGCTCACCATGCTGCACCAGACGTAGCTGGGGATGTGCGTTTCCACCGCCCTGGCAGCCTCGTCATCTTCCACCGTTACCTGGACATCATTAAAAAAATACAAGAAACATGCAGGATAAGAGATGAACTCGTTTTGTACGTGAAAAGAGTGTACTTAAAAAAAAGAAACCATCAACACGACGAAGACGAAAACATTCAACAAGACATTTTGCAGTAAGAGAAGAAAATGGGGGCGGCGAGTACCAGACACATCATGCCGAGAAACTTTCCGGTAGGAGGTGACGAGTTGGCGATCGATGACGTCATGACACTTCCCAGCAGGGAGCAAACTGATCGCAACACCCCGGCCTGGTTCAACCATTAGCTACTGCCACGAAAATACGACAAAAACCATAGCATAAGTCGATCTGATTCCGAAAGACGGACGTATACTCATGCGCAGAAAAAAACTCAGAAACAGTGCATGTGGATAACCCCCCCACCCCTCGAGCCCCTCCCAAAATTAGAATATGTAGGGCAGAACCGCCCCTACCTGCGGGCGAACATCTGCAAAGATGGCATGAACACATAAATATCACATACGATTGCTCCCCCTTACATACCCCCACTCCCCGCCTTTGGATGTAACGATTGGTCGGTCCTGTGGGTTGGAACAATGCCTCATCCTCTCGAGGACGCGTACATGTAGTCAATGGTCTAACAACTAAGGTATGCCAAAACTGGACTAGCGTACCCCGCCCATCCCTGCGGCTGCGAATCTACAGGAGGACTGACCTACGGTTGCTTCCTGCGAGTGCCCCCCCCCCCCTCCCCCCTCCCCCTT